TCGCCCGCACGGCGCTCAGCCAGTGAGTGCACCAGCCATCCCTATGTAGGATCTGAACCCGTGGCCTCAGCTCTCCCAGAGCCGCTGCACTCCCAGCGCCGCACTTTCCCGATTGAGCCACAGGGTCGGCCCCTTTCATTTGTTTTTTACTTACCATGTTTGGTTTTATTATCTTAGAAATAATTGTTTTAAATTGTTATTTATTTATTTTTGGCAGCTGGCTGGTATAGGGATCGAACCCTACACCTTGGTGTAATCAGTGTTATCAGCACCACGCTCTAACCAACTGAGCTACCCTGCCAGTCCTATCTTAGAAACTTCCTTTTTTTTTTTAATCTTTTGTGGAACAATTTAAATATTAGTGTTACTTATTCCTTAAAGGTTTGATGGGAGACTTCACCTGTGAAACTGAATGGTGCTCTGGCTTTTTTGGAAATAGTTCTTAGTGATTTATTCTACTTCTTCTAATATAAATCTCTTTTCTCTTTTGGAACCAGTTTTGTTAACTTATGTTTTCCCTGAAAATTATCCATTTTACTGAAGTTTTCTGACATATATGCATAGGTGAACATGGTACTCTTATATTTCTCTTAACTTCATACCTTATTTTGTGTTCTTCACATTGATTTCTTTGTTCTTTCTCCACAGGAACAGGAAATATAGTGGTCATTATGGTTAGCTATCCAAAAGGAAGAGAAATCTTGGACCTGGTGCAAAAAGGAATTCCAGTAAAGATGACGATTGGGATTGGCACCCGTCACGTACAGGAGTTCATCAACGGTCAGTCTGTGGTGTTTGTGGCCATTGCCTTCATCACCATGATGATCATCTCATTAGCCTGGCTAATATTTTACTATATACAGCGTTTCCTGTATACTGGCTCACAGTTTGGAAGTCAGGTAATTATGGATGACTCTAAATTTTGCTTTTTAAAAGATAGTTCATAAATATATCTCATATATATTGCTTGAAGTTATATTTGACCATATTCTTAATTTCATTTTTATTCATAATATTTAAGTTTTCCTGTGACTTTTTGAAAATAACTTTTTAATTGGGCTATATTAAATTTCCTGTTTTGTGGGAATTAGGTACCTTTAAATTTGGGTACCTTTTTCCACATTTGGTTCCTGCAGATACCCACTTAGTCCTTTTCCAGACACAGAGGAATGACAAAAAGGCCTGAGATAGTGTGGGCCTGCCCTCATGTCACCTTGGTTCTCTGACTAGGCCTAGAGGCAAGGAGCGGAGAGGAAGGGGCTTCCCTGTCCCCACTGGGGAGCAGCAGTAGAGCCGGGTATCTGCAGAGAAACACTTGTCTCCGTAACAGCAAAGAGCAAAACAAAGAGCCAGAAGTTTCCAAAGGCAGACCTTTTGAATGTCATGCTTAACTCTGTTGTGAAAAGACCTTGCTGGCTTGGTGACTAGGAACGGCTCTTTCCTTGCAGGCAACTTACTAGATGAGTATGTTACCCCCATCCTCAGTCTATTAGTTTCTTACCAGTATTTAAACATAGGAATTGGTTCTTTCTTCAGACATGGAGTTGAAAACAAGTATTCTTGATCAAACAGCTCCTAAGTTACATATGTCTTATTTTTGTGTTTATTTTGTAGTTATTTTCAGTGTAGTCATTTAACTTTGATGTTAAATGAATTTTTTTCTGTATGCTTGCTTATATTATCATATATGACTTTTTTAAAAATAGTGATTTAATTTAAAATTTTCAATAATCATATATTTTCCTACCCAAGAGCCATAGAAAAGAAACTAAGAAAGTTATTGGCCAGCTCCCACTTCATACTGTAAAGCATGGAGAAAAGGTAATGTTTTTATGGTGGATTTTTTGTTTTTGTTTTGTGGTTTAGGCTAGAGAACATCTCCGTTATGTGTCTTAAGAAATACTTTCTTTCCAGTGTACTAATTCACAGCATTGAGCATGTGGAGTTTTGGCTAGTTTGAGTTAGCACTAACTTTCATGTATGTGCTCATATTAAAGAAGGGTTAGCAGAAATATTCTGCCATATGTGAAGAGCCTTTCAGGCCCATGCTGTCCAGTATGGTAGCCACTAGTCACATATGGTTATTTAGATTTAAATGAATTAAATTGAATTTAAAATTGAGTTCCTCAGTCTATTCTCTCTTGATTCCCTTATCACCAAATATTGGGAGAAAATATTGGGATTTGTGGAGAAGTGGGGAGAAAAGTTGTTTTTAAGACTACTTTTTAAAAAAGAAACATTTTGACATGGCCAATCTGAGACCTGAAAGTTCATAATCATAGTAGACATTTAAAGCATTTTTGAAATAGGACAGATCCTAATTGTAGAACCTCAGATTCTTAGAGGATAGATTCCTTGAAAGTAAAATTTTTGCTAATTTAGTAGTAGTCTTTTAATAGTTCATTTTCTGTACTGTGAAATGTTGACTTAAAGCTATGGGTTGGTTCAGTTATTTTGATTTTCATTTTAGCTCACTGAGTTGTTGAGACTTAATCTAGTCCACCCTGCAGTCTCCACTCCCCCTTCAAAAAAAGAGTAACTGCACTTAAGTATATATCTCTTCCTCTGACCTACTTAAGGATTAAAACAAATGTAACACTTTAAATTTATAGACCTTTGGTTTTTTAAAAATTGGAATCTGATATTAATAGCTTCTGTAGTGTATTTAATACTAAGATACTCTCGTAATTGGCTACGATCCCTTCTCTAATAACTTTTACACTTGAAAAAGTTAGTACTTGTAGTACAGTTGAATTTTAATAGTTTGTGCAAGGAACTGGTTTCTATGCAAATGTATTTAACAGAAAAAAAATTTTTTTAAATCACATTTCGTGGTTTAAGATTAGTGACTGATTTACAAATCACCAAGGGTCCTTGGGGAGCTAGCTTCCAGTTAATACCTGTGACAAACTGCACACATTCAGCATAGGTAGTTACTTAACAAGCATGTGACTTTATGTTCCTCTTGGAACATGCCTTCTACTGTCCTTAGCAGAAATCTCAATTCTTAAATTTGAGAAGTTGTAGATTCATATGTGTAATTTACTTTTGTTTTGTTTTGTTTTTTGGTGGCTGGCCAGTAAAGGGATCCAAACCCTTGATGTTGGTGATATAACACCAGGCTCTAATCAGCTGTGCTATCCAGCCAGCCCTAGCAGGGCTGTTTTACTTCTGTTTTTTTTTTTTTTTTAATGTGTGTAATTTACAGAATCAGGTCTTTGAGAACATAATATATTAACATTATATTGGAAACATAAGAACATTTTATCCTTTTCCTATACAGAACATTTTTGAAAATGCTTCTAGGGACTGTTTTTGAAAGTTGTCAAAGTAATGGTTATAAAAAAAAGAGGATACCTAAATGGTCCATGGTGTATATACATGGGTTTTCTGGCAATTTTACATTTTAAACTTGTACAGAAAAGTATTTTCTTCAGTTTACGTCTTATCCAGTTCTGTAGACTGGTATTTGTTTTCTAATTTTTCTTTTCTTTTGGACTCACAGTAATGTATAAAGTTTCAAACCATTAAACCAGAGACTTTAAAAATGATTTCATCATTCTTACTTGGCATATGATAAATAAGTGATAGTATTTACTTTCATTACAATGCATAATTTAAAATGTTACAGTTAATTTTAATACATTCTTGAATAAGAATATCTCCATGTTAAATCAAATTTGTACTGCTTCCTTGTTAACAAGTGGTACACATTGCTAAATATTTTTTTAAATAATTACATAAGGACCAGGAAGCTGGTTCCATAAAATGAACTTGCTACAGTTGCAGCCACATGCAGACACTGATTGGTAGTTAGTTCCTGAATCCCTGTCCCAGAGTCCCAGGAAAGAATCCTCTTGGCCTGCCTTGAGTCAGATGACCACTCTAGTCTCAGCTGCTTTGACTAATCAGATGGGACCAGGGGTTACCCAGAGAAGTGGGGAGGGCCATACCACCAGAAAGGTCTATGACCCATAGATTCTTGGAACTGGAAATTTTGTCATAAAACTGCTTCCTCCCTGGCAATTTTTGTTTCTTTATACCTTTGTTAATTTGTTAGATGAAAAATGGTAACTTATTTTTAGTTTGTAACTCTTTTATCACTAGTGAGGTGAATATTTTCAGATTATTTAACCATTTGCAGTTTCTCATTTGCAAGTTGTAACTCTGTTCTTCAGCAAATGTAAATTTGTTGTTTATTTTTTTAGTGATTCCAGAAAACAGGTAGCTTATTGGATATTCATTATGTTTATATCTTAAGTTTAATGTTTGAAAAGTAATTTATTTTTTCATAATCTGGCAGGCATTTACATTTCTACAGCCCTTAAAACAGGAGTACTTAAAAACCCATGAACACTAGCTTAGTAATTAAACTGTTCATGTCTGATTAGGCAGACAATGAAATTTTTTCCTTTTCAGCCAAATTCTTTAGATAATCTCTTGAGAGTGGTAAAAAGTAAATACCAATAACAATTATCTGTATTTTAGTTTCAGGTTGTACCAATGTAGAATAAGAATTCATCATTGTTTTGGTCAGGGTATAGTGAGTTTGCCAAGGATATACTGTATACCAAGGATATAGTAAACACTTTCCTCTTCTTTTTACAGGGAATTGATGTTGATGCTGAAAATTGTGCAGTGTGTATTGAAAATTTTAAAGTAAAGGATATTATCAGAATTCTGCCATGCAAGTATGTTCTTTTTACCTACTGAGATGTTAAAAATTATTTGACAAGTTTCAGGTTTCTGACAAAAGAGTTAAGTGTCTTTTATGATATGAAGATCTTGTGATCATCTTTTAGAGAGAAGCTTGGACTTCAATATTGTCTCTAAGGCTCTTTAAAATCGCTTTGCCTAGGAGACTTATGTGACCATCAAGACCCATTATATATCTTTGTTATAGATTGGCTTTTAGTCTTATAAGCAGTCTTCATTAGAATCCTGGGAATTCCATCATTTCATGATGCAAAAAGTATGCTGTGTTGGGAGCAAGAAAGATGAAGGACCCAGGCGCAAGGGCCCAAAAAGGCCAGCAGGAAGTGGGTCAGGGAGGGCAATGATATGCTATTATTTGCACCCTGAGTTTGGGTTCTTTTTGAGGTTGTGTAAAATAAATATTCCTCCCTTTACTCCGGTTACACTAGGGGGTTTGTTTTGGCAACAGAAATTGTGTTTTCCTTTTTAGTAATGGGACACTTTGATAACTTTTCAAAGAATTGCTTAGTTAGCCGAATCATTTGTATACAGAAATTATGTTTTAAGTCTGGTCAATTTTAATTATACTTCAAATCTATTAGAAGCGAGTCACAAGTTAATATATAATTATGTTTTGTTTCCAAAGTACTTTAGTACATATACAAGTACTTTATAGTACTTGTACTCTTTAACTCTGTAAAAGAATTCAAGGAAACAAGTATCAGAATAATAAAATAAGAGTTTCCTGAATAAAGGCTTAAATCCATAAGCATTTATATGGGGTTGGTGCTGTGGGTGCTTAATGAGTTGGGGTCAGTATAGGTTTTTCCTGTCCTATAGAAATTATTAAAGTAGAAAAGAATTTTAACTCTAGGCTAGTTTAGGACAAGTCTTTCTGACTTAAAAATGATGCTGAGGATGCTGTGCAGATGGCAGCCCTAGGTATA